TCCCCCCCCCCTCCTCATTGATTATCCTGTTGCACTCAGGTACACGTCATGTAGGGTTGCCACCCCGTCCCTTATCAAATCAATACGGGACGCAATTTGTCCCGTATTTTACAAAGGCCAACAAGCTGAATCAACAAATAAGTATTCTGCACCGTTTATAATGCTAATAGCAATTATAATGAAATTAATTTCATAAGAAGTTAGAGAAGCTCATCTTGGCGTCTTTGTTTCCATGGCGATGGTGGAGTCTCCAGAACGTGCGCCGTTAAAGCCCTGTCACCGTTCATGTGAGCGCAGCATGCGCTAAACCTGCGCGGTTTAAAACATCGAGGAGCTCACATCCACCCTTTGAACACAAGGAAAAATGCTACCTGTAAAATTATGGTTTATTAACGTCTACACCTACCCCAACCCTAAACCTACCCTTAGAGTAATGCAAATACAGTAATTATGTATATTCGCGATTGTGGCGAGAAGGGATACAGCTACAGGAAACCAACAATAAATAATTTTTTCTACCAATTAGGTTGTGTTTTATTAAAATCTACACCTACCCCAACCCTAAACCCACCCTTACAGTAATGCAGATACATTAAATATTGTTGTTCAGCATGAGAAAAAGGACGCAATATTGATGTGCGCATGCGCAGTAAACCCTGGTAGGACAATCTGACGGGTAGGATAAAATCTCAGGACACCTGGCCCAAAGCTCATTCCATCTGCCAGAAGGATCACGCTGTCTCAAGTGCCGCATGGTTACTGTTTGCCACACTTTATCTCTAGTAACAGCACACTGACTCATCAATGAGCTGCTTTATCAGTCAGTGGAAGTTAGGAGGCCTCTAATTTGAATTTGGGAAAAAGGGACACGTGGTAGAGAGAGTCATATGGCAGGTGTTGAAGTCTTCAGCAGTTTGCAACGTCCGCCCTTTGAACACAAGACTCTCCAGATGTAGAGCTGAACGAGAAAGTTATAAATAGGTCTGTCCTGTAAATAATGATCAATGCGCAGTTTGCAGAGAAGCATTTGCTCACGGTGGACTGTCTAACTTAAAGGGATAGTTCACCCAAAAATGAACATTTGTCATCGTTTACACTCCCACAAGTTGCTCCAAACCTGTAATAATTTCTTTCTTCTGTTGAACGTAAAAGAAAATACTTTGAAGAATGTGGGTAACCAAACAGTTTCTGGTCCCCAATGACTCTGATAGCATTTTTTCTCTACTATGGAAGTTACTGAGGACCAGCAGCTGTTTAGTTACCCACATTCTTCAAAGTATCTTCTTTTGTGTTCAACAGAAGAAAGAACTTGCAGGTTTAGAACAACCTGGGTAAATTATGACAGAATTTAAATTTTTGGGTGAACCATAGGCCTACCTTTAAAGGGGTCATATGATGCGATTTCAATTTTTCGTGAATGGGTGTCCCTTATTTTGGCTTGCTGAAGGTGGCAACCCTAACGTCACGTTACAGAAATAAAATGGGTTGTGAATGTCGTTTCATTTATCACCCTGCAATTAACCCATCTGTGTATCTGCAGGTCATTGCAGGCTCAGGGCTGGACATCGGCTTCACTCTGATCTCCCCGCGTGGGTACAGATTGGTCTCCGACTTCAGAAAATCAGACGGCATACACACGTAAGCTGCACATCCCATAGTGCACATAGCCGAACCTTTATACATTTACTCATAGTTTCGGACTGTCATAACCCACAGTATTTGCATGTCATCTGCTGCAAAATTGCATGCTTCCTGCAGGGCTGACAGTGACCACAACTGAATTACAGAAAACAGTTGCCTGTTTACAGAATGTTACTAAGTAGTAAGTGAAAAGTAATGCTTTTTAAAGCATACTTAAAGGGGTTAGTCCACTCAAAAATGTAAGTTCTGTTATTATTTACTCCGTCATTCCAAACCGGTTTGTATGGAAGCTTATTTTCATCACAAAATAAAGATATTAAAAAGGTAATTGCGACTTTTTTTTAAAGGGGTCATATGATGCGATTTAAATTTTTCCTTTCTCTTTGGAGTGTTACAAGCTCTTGGTGCATAAGATCTGTAAATAAAGTTGCAAAGACTAAAGTCTCAAATCCAAAGAGATATTCTTTATAAAAGTTAAGAGTCAACCACGCCTACCTAAAACGGCTCGTTCTAACACGCCCCCACATACCTACGTCACGATGTGGGAAGATTTGCATAACACCGCCCAAATGTTCACGCAAAAAAAGAAGGCATAACTTTTATTCTCACTGTAGTATTATTGCTGCCGCCATGTCGTGAAGGCGCGGTGTTTCATTGTGAAAGCGAAACTACTTTGTTTGGCCTTACAAAAGAGGACACAACTAGAAATCAGTGGTTAAGTTGTATTTACAACACTGTTCCAGAACACTTCAACCCAAATATCCAGATGTGTTCAGCACATTTTATGGAGGACCGTTTCCTGATCCTGGGAGAGTAGACTACAATGCCAGCTGTTCTGACTCACAGACTGTAAGTACGTTTTTATATTTAAAGA